CAAATAGATTCTGACACACAACTTCTACATCCGTTCATTCCTATCAATATAGAACCATTTTTCAGAAACACGAAGGGAACAAAATACTTGAATCGACTTTTATCTAAGAATGATGAAATTCCAACAGGAAAAACAAAAATGGGCAAATGACTTTGATTTTGATATTTCTGATTGGGCAAACATCTATTCACTACCTTTTAAAATAACTAAGGCTTAAAAACTCCAGTGGTTTCAGTATAGCATATTGCATAAATTTCTGACAACTAATTCATTACTGTTCATGGCAAAGCTTGTTGTAAGCCCACTGTGTACTTTTTGCAAAGTAGAGTCTGAAACAATATCTCACATATTTTGGGAATGCCTAAAAGTTCAAGACTTCTCTCGGGGCATTGAATCAGCCTTAGCTGCTTTTTTTTACTTTTTCCTTTTACTATCAATAAAAAATCTGTAATCTTTGGTTTTCCGCCGCTTCGGAATGAATTCAGCAGGATAGATAACGAAGTAAATATTATTATAAAACATATTTATAAAACTAGGTGTCTTGACACCACATTAAACATAAATCTATATAATTTTTCATTTAATTACAATTATAGTCCAAATATTACGTGTATATATGTACATAAATAATTGTCACATGATCACTGGCTAGCACAGAAGAAACATACATATAGTATATTTGTAAATTGTATTATTCCTAATACTAAATTTTCCTCTACTTTCGGAGAAGGTATGTCTGTCATTCTGTCCATCGGCACAGATTTCTTGTAAGTGTGCATTTATATGGAGTTCTGAAAGATTTTTGCAAAATTAGGTATTTGCTTTATGTACAATGCTTAGTTACTTCGCATTAATGTAAAATGCATCATGATTTTTTGTCTATGTCCACCTCATTTGTCTGTCAGTGTTCATCTGTCTGTCCGTCCATCTGTGTCTGTCTGCTCTCATACTTGTCTTCGTATTGTCTTTCTTCTTTCAATCAAACACAACACATGATTATCATTTGTTTTGTTATTAACTATTTGCAAGTGATTTTTGATTACTCTAGTGAAATTACATGCTAATGGATGTGTGCATGTACATAAATGTATGTATGTATACGTATGTATGTATGTATGTATACGTATGTATGTATGTATGTATGTATGTATGTATGTATGTATGTATGTAATGCATGTTTGTGTGTGTGCGTGTGTGTGTCTGTGTGTGTGGCATCAGAGCGATAGAATGAGTGTTATCTGTGAGGTGTTTCACTAGGCATATATATTGTATCTTTGTCATGTGTATGTATCCTTTTGAAAAACCTGAATAAAATACAAATTAAAAAAAAAGATTTATTGATTAATATCTAGTTATGTATATAAAAACCTAAGATCAGATCAGACGAAAAATTTCGGACCAGATCAATGAGATCAGACCACATCAGACCAAGATTTGATAACACAAAATTTGAGCCGAGCCCAACCAGATCACACACGACCGGACCAGCCCGTTTACTTTTTAAACAGGCTTTCTAAATAGCGGTTGACCACTTTAAATCTGGTAATATGGTTTTGATTAGGAAAAAATTCGTTTTAGCGAACTGAAGCTTGGAATAGTATCTTTTTCCACTAAAAGACACGCTGGTTGCCACGACAGGTTAGTACTGAGCATTTTGACGGCATGAAGTTAAAGGTCCATCTTGCAGAATAAATATTTTCGAAATCTATTAGAAGTTACACTACTTTTGCAATTGCACCTATCAAGGCTAGGCACGAGCTTCAATGTTTGATTGAGACTACCCGAGCGCCGTCATTCCATCTCTATTATCAGGACAATTACCTGGATAAGGTACATTGATATTTGCACGGAAAAACATCTTGAATTACCATGATTTGCAAATCAGATAATGCAGCAAATTCTTTAGTACGAATTATACAGTCATACTGTTTTATGATTTTCGGAACATTCCTTTGTGCTGCACTGTACGTATGTCTTATTCGTATTGAGAAACGCAATATACACGGAACTATCTTGCTTTCGTACGTAGTCACATGTAGGCTATACGAGATTGTCATTCAACCAGGTCCAGTTTGGGGCTCCTGTTATTGTCTATTACGGAACGAAACGTGTTCGGTTTCTATCCTTCACATTATGCGCACATTTTGCTTCAGTTTATGTTAAAAGCGATATCGGTCAAAGTTGGGTCGTTATTCTTCCACTGTAAATATTGTGATTTCCATGTTATTGAAATATTACTTGTAGAACTGATAGTATTGAAAGCATAGTTATTGTTTCAATCACTATTTTACCAACATATCGGATATATTCACAAACTTCTATAACCGGAAGGTCGAGACTGGAGTAATGCGTTGTACTGTCAGCAAAGAGATGTTCATAGTAACCAGCAAGTGTTTCAATTCCATCAGCGTCTCGGATAACGGTATTACCTAATGTATCCGTTCGGCCTTGGTCCCCTCAACTCACTACCACCCACACCATTTCCCAGGAACAGCTCGCCGCCGTGCGATATGACCTTTTATGATTATTGTAGACAGTAGTAGAATGATAACTTATTACAATTTCATAAGTTGAGACTAGAGTTGAGATATTCTTGCTCGGGCAAACGCCCGAGTGAGCGGGCGTCCTGCCAATGGCGACTAGCCTATCTCCTGTCTGGCCTCCAGGAACCGAAACATACTGGCTAGAAAGGTGGTCGTATTTTATGCTAGCCATCTTAATTAACTTATGAAGTATTAATACACATTACCTGACAGGTAAACATGAATTGAAGTATACATGAGCTGTCCAAAAGGTCTTGCACACATAAATGGCAATAGATTCGGCTGTTTACAACCAGATAAAATTACACTGATCATCATACATACTGCTTAGATAGACTTCAGGTAATTGTCTTGTATAATCAGGGAATGAATCAATACATGAACTGTTGTAGTAAATCAGTAACGACAGAATGCCTCTGACCACTTGTCAATACATAAATGTTCACAGTAGATGTCAGTACAGTACAAAATTACATAGGCAGATACATTATGGTGAAACATAAAAATGTCCACATGGTCTAATCGTATACTTTGGTCCCACGAAAAAAGCGGATCTTTAATGAAGTCTTTCTGGGCGTCCACTTGCGGTTTGCTACATGGTGTTAAGGATCGTCAACCATACGCACGTTTAAAGCATACATTAGGGAACACAAACAATTAGATTTGGATAAATCCTGTTCGCTGTATTTATGACAACATGACCAACAGGAATATTTCGTGCATCTGTCGAAACTATACAAATAAATTGACATTCTTAAAAAGACTTTAAAAAGACATTCCCAAAGTTTCAAACAAATTAAACTTTAACTCTCAAATTAAAAAAAGTATTTTATGACAACATGACAAACAGGAATTTTGATGCACAGAAATTTACAGTCTTAAAATGACTTACAAAATGGCATTCCCAATATTTAAAAACAAATTCAACTTTAACTGTCTAACAAGTTTTATTGGGTATGAAAATGTCAACTAGTGCATTAATGCGACGTGTGATTCCCTATATATTACTAAGAGATATCTTGTTCTTTCTATTGATGTATGCTGACACAGTTCTTTCTCTTTACAGAATATGTTAGAGTCTTTGGAATTTTATAAGTGACACATGGCAGTTGTCAGTTTATATAGGAAAAAAATAAAATTGTTATATTCCGAAATGCTATTACTATCAGCTGGTCTACTTAACTTTCCGCCAGCCTGTCTGTTTTCGTCTCGTCTTGTACAATGTAGGTTAACTTTCATTTACTATCTGACTATATAGTATGTGTTATACTAGCAATATATTGTACATTGTATTCTTATGTATGTAACTCCTATACTAAGGAATTGTAAAGTTTCAAATGAATAAATATAATGAACACCATAAAAAGCTCTAGTACATTTTGCACATGAAAATCTTGTGTACTGACCTTTCGTAAACTACTGTTAATATCAATAATATAAAGTTTTCACAGCTAGAACGAAGACTTCCCCAGGAATGGAACAATTTGCCCTTGGCATTATGACAGACTCTCAACAACTCTATCCAAGGCCGACACACGCATTATTGACTGATTTCTGATTCTCCTTTCATTGGGGTATCTTCATTAAATAGACAGTAGAAAAGTATTTTCTATGAATTAGAAATCAAGTCAGTCTAATTTTGTTTAATTGTAATTTAAACTAATGAATAAATCCGTAAAAATCGAGTTCCTGTATTTTTCAGAAAACGTATTTTAAGTCGGACTTGCGTTTCATTTGGGGCTCAATATACATAAATGTATTATCCAATGAAAACGCTCCCACTATTACAATGCACGAATTGTTATACCCACTGGTGACCTTACGACATGAATATGTTTAACTCAGGCTACATATGAATACATAGGCGTTGTCTCTTCTTCTGTGACAACGTCATAATACCCAGTATTCTATATAAAGTGAATTAACTGCTTCCATTGAACAGACCTTCGCTAACTTTGTACAAGGTGATCCTATCTAGAATAAAGAGGCACTCTTTACAGGTATGTACCAAATTAATATATACTGAATTGCTAACTACTAACAATATTCCACTGGGTATTGTACGCGAAATATCCGCGTTTGGCTTTTTGTTTATTTGTTTTTTGTTTGTTTTTAGACTCCTTGAGGACTGCATAACTGTAATTTTTTTCTTCATTTTGTGCAGGCTATATTAAACATTTCTCTCTTTTAGATCACCTGGATTGGAGATTATACAATTCAGAAATGCGACTGCACCTTTGGTTTCTGGTTACAGCACAGATACACTGCATCAAACGTTCAGTGGCCCAGAAATGCAATCAAAATATTATAAATTCAAGTAAAAAAAAAAACGAAACAAAACCATACAAAAAAAAAAAAAAAAAAAACAAAAACAAAAAAAAATCAGTCCGTATTTGTATTTCTAAATAGATGATATTTAGGATAATTTAAAATACACTTCATGGCTTATATGTGGCACTATAAAAAGTCGGTAACTTTCTTCATGGTGTCCTTGTCAGTAGCATCAACCTCGAGTTCTGTGTTACCGAAGGTCATCTGCACCATTACAGACCTGTCCAGTCCCTTAGAAGTGTCCGGCATGGTTATTGTTAAGTGACCGTTTTTTAATCATTGATTTTCTTAAATCCGTTGTACAATATAAGTGAGGATATATGTGTTATGTTTCATTAAGTTGAATGAAGTAGGTCAAACACTTCGACGACAAAAACAACACCGCCATATATTTCTTTAAACTTATCTGTAAAATATACAACGTATGTCAAGACAATTATATTATAGTGCAAAATAATAATTTGAATTACTCCATTCATCGTTACTGGCGGGTGACTCCTACGAAAGCTTCCAAAATATTACAGGATTTTCAACCACCTCGTACCCATTGTACTACAGTGATAACACTTTCTAAGAACCATGTGACAGGTCAGCTTTAAAAATCGCAAAAGTAAATAACTAAAGTGATCGTGGTAACGTCTCATGTAAGGCTAAAAGGACAATAAGATCCTTCGTTTTGCTATAAGGCTGTGTAGACAAGTAAATGGACCCCCGGGACCGTCAACGACTCAACACCGGTGAATTCAAAGGACATTTGATCTCTACACACTGAATATTTCACTCTGAATATAATAAGCAACTACGTACCTATATGTCATGTCAGCAACACAAGACTGGCTATCAACTGCAGGGCAAAAGCTTCTGTCTAAACCAGCAACAGGACCTAACTGACTGCTAGATGTTATATATCGTCAATATGAATTAACTTTTGTTAACAAATAAATAGAATGACGTCAAATTGGCAAAATGATTTACAGTATTATGCAGTTAAGCTTGAAGTGTGCTTAGTAATGATTTCCTATGTTGTAAGATTGTTATGTAGGTAATCATATGTAACTGTTTTCTTATTTCACTCCAGATTAGAGAGATAAAATGACCTTAGTTAATTGGAAACGTGCTTATGAGTTGCTGATAGAGGCTTTTCGGCGCATGAAGATTTAAAATTCAACATTATAATTTTTGATCAGATCCATTTCACAATTTAGTTACGGACCTGAAATTACATACAAATTTAATATATAGTGATTTTTATTATAAGGTACGTACATGTTGTAGTCTAAACTAATGTTCAGTTTTCAAAGCGCACAAAAATGATAAAAAATTAAAATAACTGGACCAAATCTTCTGAAAAAATTCTCTAGATAATAATTGTTAAAAGTTTCATGATGACTGGCGATGAGACAATTGTCATTATGTGATATCACCTTTTATTGAATATGTCAAACTAGGTTTCTGATACAACTCTTCTTTTATGTACAAACTATACAGATTTTTATGAATGAGAGTATACTTTTAGGGCAATTAAAATCCATTGTTCATAAACACACACCAGTTCCTTCTAGCCCATATTTTTACCTGTATAAATCGAATGTGGGCTAAGTGGGAATATAGGATGTACATTAGAGCATTATGTAACAGCTTGCAATGCGCTCAAGGTATTCCTTTTCGTTCTTCCAATCTTTCACGCAAATATGTTTAGTATGTGCAGTCTATATGCAGATCTGTTGATATGGTTCGTCACGCTAGATGAATGTAATCTTGCAAAGGGATTTACACACTACCCGAATCAGGTATCGAAGTGTATGGAGTTAATGCTTCTCCGTAGTCCGTGGCTAACTATTGTCAAAAATCGTAAAAAGAGGTAAATTTTAATTCAATAAAACCATGGCAAAATATGAACAAAAAAGGATTCACAAGGTGACTTCTGAAAACGTAAGAGGGAAATAAGACTAGGTGCATCATCGACGACACCCCCACCCCCATGTAAATCTTATAAGTCAATCCAGGGATGTATTTGATTGAACTGTTACTAGAGAAAGATTAGAAGGGACAGTTTCAAAAGTTGGCAAATCGACCGTGAGTTTGTATTTGTGTACTTCAGTGACTTCACACATTGATTATAGAATGTGTATTACCAAGCTTGATCATATGGGTGTATACAGTCTCACGTACCCTCATCTGGTCAACATAGAACTGAACGGGTAACTTAAAGTAGAATGGAAATAGTCATCAGTAATTGCAATATATTTATATATAGCTGACGGAATTCATTTCACATTTTACGTACTGCCTTTGTTATTCACAATAATAAAGCTTGTTATGTTTAAATTGTTTGCCCCACTGTTCTTCCACTTGTTTTACCTGTATTGTCCTCTAAAGGGGTTTGCCAGTGTTGTTCTCCAGCCTGTTTTACCTGTTCAGTTATCCCACCTGTTTACCAGTGTTGTTCTCCAGCCTGTTTTACCTGTTCAGTTATCCCACCTGTTTACCAGTGTTGTTCTCCAGCCTGTTTTACCTGTTCAGTTATCCCACCTGTTTACCAGTGTTGTTCTCCCACCTGTTTATCCTATGTTGATCTCCAACTTGTTTACCTGTGTAAAGCAAATCAATATACAATCATGTACTTATTTCACATTTCATAAAAGATGTATTTAGTAACTAAAGTATGCAATTATTTTTTTCTCTTGGCTGTATACCCTGAAATAAATACCTACCAAATTGTTTTTGAAAGGAAGATATCATGGATTTTCATATATCAAAAACAAAACAGTTGTGCCACTCAGACATCACCCAATCGATGTAAAAGGGAAAAAACAGTTTGTCTTACAATTTGGCTTTCTTGTATTTAACTCCAATAATTAATTATAATTCGCCCTCAATATACAGTCATCAGTCTTTTTAAGTTCCAGTCAATAATTAATCATATGCAATAAGGAAAACGACCAAGTTCGATGGGAGTGGAATAAATTTATGATTAACCTGTCTAAAACCATCGCCAAAGTTTGAGCAGTACATAGAAAAACAGTTATTTCAATATTTGAAAATTGTCATGACATGCTGTGGTATAGACAAACTGAGATACACGCACTCCAATCCAATTCAATATAACTGTCATGTCATACAAAAATCAAAATGAGATACACGCACTCGCATTAAAAACCCAGTTTACATAGCAAAGAAATGTATTATAAAGATATTTCTAAAAAAGGTATTTACTAGATTTTGAAAAGGCTACAATAAATAATGGTAGTGGTAACACAAGACCTCGCTTCAGCGAAATTATGTTAGCAAACACAGTGGCAATACTCAACCAGCTTAGTTAAGTACATAAAATGCACTTCAATTTTACGAAATTCTGTTAACAAACCCAATGTAGTATCACCAGACCAGCCTATCGAGATACACTAGTTACCTCACTTTAACGAAATTCTGTTAACTAACACAATGTAGTATCACCAGACCTGCCTAGCGAGATACACTAAAGTTACCTCACTTTAACGAAATTCTGTTAGCAAACAGTATGGTAACACTAGACAAGCCTAGTGAAGCACATGAAAATGACATCACTTTAACGAAATTCTGTTAACCCCTTAACTCCCAACTACGCATTTCTACGCCCTGTGACGTCGGTGTTGGAAAAACCGTCATATCTCCCTTATTTGTGGAGGTATTGATCTACTGATTATATCTCATAAATTTGAAGGAGATGCTGCACAACTTTTGTTTTTTCGATCTGATAAATATTTCTTACGCTTTTTGCGAGTTAAAAATACAAGGCATTTTCCCGAACATCTTGGATTGATGAGTTCGTGTGCATGATGTACGTAAATGTAAATTCGCGGGTACAGTTTATATTTCACATATATGTTCATAAAGAGAAGCCATGAATCATGCAGTGCAAAATGTTGATCATCTTGCGTTCACTTTTTGTCAATGTAGATTTCACGTTAAATTGAATTTATTTCGATACCCACACAAAGTTTATTTTAAGTGATATATCACCCAGCTTAGTATGTTTATATCATCGTGTTTTTCTCACATCAAATCCTTTGCTGAAAGCAACAGGCGACAAAACTACGACAATTATTATTTAAAAATGCCTATATCACTAAAGTCACGGTTAGTAGATCACCATATTTGTATCAACATATTATGTTGAAAATCTGGCATTTTCTCATACTAAAGCGTTTGCTGATAGCAACCGGCGACAACGCTACAACAACCATTGTGTTCATTAACATAAAGTTTAACAACAGGCTATAATTCTCCGTGGTTGTTTGAACATCTTCTTTGTCACCCATGCAGACTTCCAATATCTAATCAGGTCATTATGCATATAAAACAATTGTGTACTCAACAAGTTATTTTCAGTTGTCTAGACATTCAAATGACCAACCAAGTGTGAACTTATAGTTCATCGTGACAACACATACAGACTAAACACGTTGTAAGATTAATCTTATATTTCTACTGCACTGAGTTGTGACATCTGAAAATAAATACAATGTGTATAAAATACCTCTTCATTCAATGCTTCCTGAGATAAATTGTTTTTACACACAATATTAACGTTCTTCAAAAAATTCTAATTTCGGTTGCGACGGCAACTTTAAAATCCGAAAAGAAAAAAATGTTGCAAAATTCTAACAAATAAGTTTTTTTCCAGTTTTTTATCATTAATTCTGGCGGTTGACTAAATTGTTAATTATGTCATACAAAGCTTTCCTTATGTAATGAAACTAAGGCATGGATTTGCTTATTTCAACATCAAATATTCGATAATTGAGCTAGCAATCATGGCAACAACCATGAATCAGTACATTTCTGGCATATACATATTCTTAGGTTTCTACTGCAGTAGTTCTATGAATTTCGGATATATTTTTTCATTCACTTCCATCGCCGAAAACATTTGCAAATGTGACATTTTCTTTTCAAATGTTTAAAAATTCTGGTTGCTATGGTAACGTTACTATTCGTAAAACATGATTTTTGTCCAAAAATTGGAAAGCTTGTGTTCCCATGTTTCTAAATAGATGGGGGTTGAGTGAAAATTAATGTTGAAGCAAAATGACAGATTTTCTTTAGTGTCATCAAAACTTCCTGGTAGTTAAGGGGTTACCACAAAGTGTGGTAACACAGCAGCGGCCTAGTGAGGCCCATGAAAGTTACCTCATTTTGGCGAAAATCTGTTAACACACAATGTGTAACACCATAGCCGCTAAGCGAGGTACGTGAAATTAACCTGAGCTGTGGGTGCCAGGTCACCAATTTCAAGATGGAGGAGTCGACACACTGTGTGCAGCACTACACAATTAAAATGGGGTACATAGTAAAAATTCAAGTGACGTAGAGCTTCGATTTTCTACGTAGAATCCGGGGTCCACAAAGCGGGGTAACTAACGCACGAACGCACGCACGCACGCACACCCACACACACACACACACACACACACACACACAAACACACGCACACACACACACGCACACACGCACACACACACACACACACACACCTGTTTATAAAACACTTTCAGCATATTTGCCATTTTGTTGTTGTCTTAGGGAATCGTCTTGGAGTTGGTACTTGTCTCGGAATTGGTAGAAGTCGATAGTTGTTTTTGGAATTGGTAGTAGTGTGTAGCTGTCTCGAAGTGGGTAGTAGTGGATAGTTGTCTCAGAGTGGGTTCAAGTGGGTAGTTGTCTCGAAGTGGGTAGTAGTGGGTAATTGTCAATGACTGGGTAGAAGTGGGTACTTGTCTCGGAGTGGGTAGAAGTGGGTAATTGTCTCGGAGTAGGTAGAAGTGGGTAGTTGTCTCGGAGTGGGTAGTATTTGGTACTTGTCCCGGAGTGGGTAGAAGTGGGTACTTGTCTCGGAGTGGGTAGAAGTGGGTAGTTGTCTCGGAGTGGGTAGAAGTGGGTAGTTGTCTCGGAGTGGGTAGTATTTGGTACTTGTCTCGGAGTGGGTAGAAGAGGGTAGTTGTCTCGGAGTGGATAGAAGTGGGTAGTTGTCTCGGAGAGGGTAGTATTTGGTACTTGTCAATGACTGGGTAGAAGTGGGTAGTTTTCTTGGTGTGGGTGAAAGTGGGTACTTGTCTTAAGAGGAAAATGATACATACTAGTCCTTGATTGGGTATAAGCTGGTTGCTAGTTGTTGAAAGGAAATGATGTAGGTAGCAATCCGACAAAATCTCGCTGAGAATAAAAGTGTGTGTATGTATATCGACTGTGCTACATCAGGAGTTTTATAATGATTAAGTCAAATTGGCTGGGAATGCCATTACTTGCTTGTTTAGACAGGATGAAAATTATAATGAAGATGAAAATTTTGCTTCCAAAAACAGCACTCACCTGGTATATACCACCTAAATATCATGCTCTCTATGTATTTTAGCTCATGAGAAGATGTCGTTTAAAGGTTTTAACAAATGACCACTGTGACTTTGAACAAGGTTTAAGTAATTTCTTTTTGTAAACTTTTATTATGAACATACCAACCAAATGTTACACATGGAGGCTTTTAGTTCATGAGAAGAAGTGGTTTAAATGTTGTAAGAATCTGACCCCTGTCACGTTGGATTTCAGTCAAGGCCATATCTTTATCTCCATTCCAGGAAGATACCAGCCAAATATAAAAACAGTTGGTCGTTTAGTTATTAGTTATGAGGTGAACTAATAAACAAAGTATGATCAGAGACGTATATAAAACATGTGATATGGTACAATTCTGTGTTGTATTTAAGGAAAGTAAGAATACAAATTCCAATATTTTCATATGATATCAGCTTCCGAAATTGGCGAAAACACAGGTAAACACAGGTAAAAAGACAGGTAAATCATGTAATCTAAAATAGACTATAATCCCTCTAACAACTTATCTCTGGTCGTGTTATTTTTAAAAGTGGGCAAATCGGGGTACAGATGTTACATGTTCCTATTACATAACCCTATTAGTCGAGATGAACTTAACGATGTTTTAATATGTGTCAAGCTTGGTTAGTCACCCAGAATCGATAATATATTGAATTTGTGTAAAATGTAAAGAAGTGTTTATTCCGATTCTTTCAAAATTATTCAATGCTATATTTTTGTTTAAGAGGAATTTCCATCCAGATGATCAAGAAATATTCAAGAAAGAAGGACAGTATTTGTTACACTGGTCACACTTTACCACGTGAGGAACATGTATTTTTTATAGAGGTCACACTCTATAACAGCTGTATTTACTTATTATATTGTTCACACTCTGCAACGGGAGGAGTGTATTTGTTATATTGGTCACACTCCACAACGCGAGGAGACTATTGGTTTTAAAAATCACCCTCTACAACGGGAGGGATGTGTTTGTTATAGAGGTCACACTCTACAAAGGGAGGAATCTATTTGTTATCGTGGTCAAACTTAAAAATTGGAGGTATATATTTCTTATAGAAGAAATTTACAGTTTTAAAAAGACATGTAAGAAGACATTCCCAAAGTTTAAAACAAATTTAACTTGACCTTATTAGCTGACAGGTCATCAAATTACCATCTTGCCGTTCTCTTCTATGACTCGTTAATAATGATAAGGCCTAAATTCTTTAATCATAACAGTGGACAAAGGAAAATCGGAACTGGGTAATTGAATTCAAATGAATATAATGGTGCATCAGAAAACAGTTTTACTTTTTACAACAAAGACTGTGTCTTATTGCAGCATCTGCATTGATGTTTCAACGAATGACTGTCTGCTGCATTGTTTTTGCAACGTTTACTACAGGTTTCCTAATTCGTTTATGATATGGCAATATCGGTATAAATCGTATTAAAAGATTATTCTCGATACAAGGGAATGCTTACGTGGTTGTGAGAAATAAAGCACCGACGAGTTATTTTTTTCTGAACATTGATTGAACTTCTTACGAGTATTTAGCAACGGAAATGTATCATAGATGCGTATATCAAACCACGTCATTTTATAGCTGAGAATGAAACATTTTATGCAGTATTTTGGTGGGTATTGTGTGTTGGGGGCGCTCAGAAATGGAAAAGTAGAGAGCTCTAGAAGGTCTTATTCCAACATGTAGACGTTTATCTTAACCTAGGTCAATTAGACCGCATGCCATCAATATAAATAAGATGAAGTTTGTTAAATTTCTCTTTTATTGGTTTGATATATGTTGTTCAATTTATCTGCTGTCTGTATCTGTTTATGTAAATAGTATGCTGCCTTTGATATGTGTTGTATATATGAATTATGAATTAATGCATTAATATCACAGAACCGTATCAAATCTTCCAATTTATTGAAATGAGCATATTTATCTTTCAGTCATCCCACCACGAGCGGCTGATTTACAAGGAGCAAGTAATCATGTTTGAGGAAGGCAGACGTCTGAGGTTTATGAAAAATATCTTTTTTACGGGACTTTTAATATGTGCCATCTTCTCTACTGTCTCCATCTACAATTTAAATTTTCATCGGAACACGATGTCAGTGACACAAAGATGCACACAATCTGCAGAGCTATCAAACCTTGACAAAAGACCACTTTTCGTATTAGGAATATTTTCAGCAGATCGGAATGTTGAATATAGGAATTCACTTCGGTCGACATGGCTGTCTACTGTAACTCTGTTACAAGATTCACTTCCTTTCAGAATAACATATAAGTTTCTTATGGACCAGCCAACAAAGATTACAATGTTAGAAAAGAGCAAATACAACGATATTCTTTTTCTAAATGTGACTAGGAAGGGACGAGCGGTTAGATTTGGAGAGAAATTATATGTGTGGTATAAATACGTTCATGAAAAATACCCAGATGTGTCACTTATTGCAAAATTAGATGATGATACATTTATTTGTGTCCCACAGATTTTCAAAAGACTTGATGAACTGAAATCACAGACATTATATTATGGGTGGACAAATGGTGTCGGACAAAAACTAAATGCAAAACAGTTTTATTTAGACGAAATGTTTGTAGTTGTTGGTAAAAAATTAATTGATAGAATTGTTAAACGCAAGTTTTGTACAGATCAGAAAGGATGCAACGCTAGCATTGACTTGATTGATACTAACTTTGCTGATACGTCTTTAGTATCTTGGTTGTCGATT